CAAATTCAAATTTAGACCACATGATGGCGCTAGATGAAAGTCAGAATATTTCACAACAATCCATCAAGTAATTGTTGAGATATTTTCCTTAAAACAAAAGATGTCAACCTCATGGTGGCGCTAGAGGAAACGTCAGAGGGTCACCAAAGTCATTAGGCTTAATTGTTTCGGGAACCATGAATGTCTGTACAAACCTTTAAGGCAATTCATCAAGTAGTTATAGATATTTCAGTCCAAAGTGGTGGGCAGACAAAATGTAATCTATAAGCCTCTTTAGGAAAGGTGTAAAAATGTGTATTTGTGTTTGTTGGTTTGGTGGTAGGATGTCCCCATTTCACATCCTGTTGAGATGTGTCGGTGGATGAGGAATTCCTCAAGACTGATTATACATTTTGTAGACTAAACACAAAGAAACAGTCTGAGCTAGAAATAAGGTTATTGTCAGCATTTGTCCCTGAAAGATTTCCCCATTTTAAATAAGGTCTTTTTCAGCAGCAGCTACTTCTGTATAATGTCTTTCCAATGGACAACTCACTGCACACTGGATGTTAGATTGGACTTCCTGTAGAGGCCCACATGTTGTGATGGGAATAGAAAAACTCCAATGACTCAGGAGTGACGTACGAGGGGAACCAGCTCTGCTAAGCACCCACTCACAATTCACTGTGAGGATATGACAAACCATCAGGGGTCAGATATAATGGCTTCAATTTTCTATTCAGACTTAGTGCCAAGAGAAAATGCTTCCCCTGCTCCATTCCTGTGCCCTCTGATAATAATACAGCTCTCAAATGATTTTCATCTCAGCAGTACTATAATAAAAACACAGACTTACACTAATAGCTCTATCAGCGCCCAGTCATTGCGCAACATTATGTAACACAGTACTTGTGAGAATTTATTCACTCTAAAAGAGATATTTGGTTTCATAGGTCTGATCCACAGATACGGGACGAAACCTAGACCCACTTTGCATGTACTGCAATTTGACTCACAAAGCTAAGCGTCCAATCGTTTTTGGTATTACTACCTATACTTAAAGTCCTCCTTCATTCAAAAATATGTTGTACTTCTTGTTCATACCGTTGGATGTTTGATCTTCTCTGTGCAGAAGGATGTATGTGCAGAGTTTGACACTAGAAGGATGTTTTCAAATTCATCTGCTGAAAGTGGAAAGTTTCTCTGTGCTCATTGAAAAGCTAAAATTTTAAGGGGCATGATTTGTGACATCACAAATAGTTTGTAAGTCAATCTTGGTCCAATATGCAACTTATAAAAGTGTGATGTAGAAACTTAAAGCCACCAGTTCACAAACACTGAGAACTGACTTTATAGTGAAGTAGGAGACATCTTGTGCCCATCAGGAAAACTTTACCGAACCGAATTTGCATATTCATAGATTCTGAAATGTTTTATGAGGTGGGAGGACTACATGCCTTTCTTAAGGATTGTAATGTGGAAATTGTGCTTTTTTTGGAGGAAAATCCTAATCGAGACAACACATTATTGTTCCAAACAGACGAGTATTTACCATAAATATACATGTTCTCATGAACATTGTATATACTGATGTTTTGTTCCAACATTATATATTTTCAAATACACATAATAAAGGAGGATATTTTCAGGCTTCCTCAGTTCGGTAATATAATAGAAATTTGAGAAAAAGTCTTTCAGGGTTCTGGAAATACCTTCAGAACTGTGGTGAGTGTTCTGACCTTCTGGGTTTTCCAAAAGATTACCCTGAGTCTGTTAATACTGTATCTCTAAAGATTGTTCAGTCCATTGATGAGGCTGTACTGTAGGGGAGCCTTTAGTGTAGATCCTCGCCAAACCACAGAAAAAAAAACATACCTCTTCCTGTTTTACTTAAACAGTATAGTAGCTGTACATCCTGTACCTTCTCTGCTCTCGGCAGTGAGCCATGTAAACTGGGTATTTTCTTCTTGCCTCATATTATTGTACCGGCCACAGATGACCTGAGTGGGGATAAGTGTCGGTATAATTCCTAATCCTGATATGTTTCCCAGGTTAGGCTGCTCGTCCTGAGAGAATCTGTACTGTCAATAAATGAGGGAGTGGTTGGTAAAAGAGCAAAGGAAGCAATTATGGTGTCTATCCTCATCCCACCTCCAGGAGGATAAAGCAACCATTGTAGTACTCGGATCAGGACTCCTTTAGTCCATGTGGTCGTCACTGAGATACCACAGCCTGAGGGGACATAAGACAAAGGCAGAGATGAGCTGAGACCTGTTTAAAGAAAAAGAACAAGTTATTTAACTGTTTTTCTTATATATACTTCTTTGTACACATAAGAAGGCCCATAACTACTCAAGCTTTCTCTCATCTGAGACAGGTGATAAAAGGCTTTACTAGATATGCACTGTCTCCCAAGTAATCCCCAAATAACATGGTATCATTTGACTGCAGCCAATAATAACTATCTGACAGTATTTAAAATATGATGGTTTGTGGTTGAAATATGACCGTTTGTCTTTATCTGAAGAGTCAAGTATGTTAATGTGCTTCCTGTCTTTGGTGGCCACCATTGATAATGTTTGTGAATTTTCTTGTTCACTCCTACCCTTCGGTGTTAAACAGAGGAAAACGAAATGTCTCACAGTCAACTTATGACTTGTTAAATGTTAGAAAAATATTCCTACATGTATTATATGAATTATATTTAAAGTGGGAGTTCAGGCCACCACATACTATTATAACCCACCTGAAAATACCCAGGATTTTAATACATATTTACATCATTTTAATACATTGCTGTATTGCCCCCCAAAGTGTCACAAATCATGTGTGGAATGACAAAAAAGACTTGGCTGGATTATGTATGAGGTGTATTGCATTCTCTACAGTAGCTCAACATAACTTCGGTTCCCACAGTGCCTCCTGTTAAATTGAGAGTACATCCACATTAGGCAGGGTTAAATTTGAAAACACATATCTTTCCCTCAGTTTCAGTAGACTGCCTGCTGGTAACACACTCAACATGTGTCACTGCTGTGAGAGCAGGATCGATGTAGTGTAGTGTGAGAGTATCGACGGACAGGCACACTGAATAATCTATTAAAGGCTTTTTATTGATCTACATCGATTTTTTTATGCTCTCTTGCACCGATCGAAACTGCATCTACATGAGCTAATATTTAATTTCACTTTTTATTTGCTTGGAAACATGTTGCTATCAGAGTGTAAGTGCTGTTGGGAAGATGAGGATGGTGTCTGGGGCTCAGACTGCGCTGCTGTCTCATCACTTCTTAATGTCTCCTCTTTGAAGAAGTCATTTTGTGTGCATAATGAACCAGCAAGTGTGTCTGAAAGCACTAGTAAGACCTGCACTTGCACTGCTCTGCAAGACATGTTCATGTATTTCCAACATTATATTTCACTTTCATGGGTTTCAACAGTTGTGGCCAGTTTGTTATGAAGATGGGATGAGAGCTGAAAGAAATCACCCTTTAAGGAGGATGTTTGGGGAATAAAAAAAGAGCAGAGATGTTAAAGATCCATGTGACAGTGAACGATTGTGAATACTTTACTCCTCTTTACGCACGGTTTGGAGTTGAATGGGGCAACCTGAAGCCGTTTGGTTCTTCTGGTTGTTTTACTTAGGGGGGAAAAAAATTAAACTTTATGGGTGGGGCTTGGTTAGAGGAAAGAGAGGGAAAACAGGGTGGTGTGTGTGTGTGTGTGTGTGTGTGTGTGTGTGTGTGCTGTGAATTCAAAG